GCTGGACCTGTCACGCACGTTCAACGAGCAGCTCCCGCGGCTGCTTATCAACTCGTTTTATGAGAAGCAGATGTACGATGGCGTCAAGGTGAATCCCACATTTTCTTTCCAGTTTCCCTTGTAAGGTGAGACTGACTCGGCATCACAGGTAGTTGAAGAAGGCTCCGCAACGCTATCCTACCTCACAGAGATAGTCGACGGGCTGGACGCCAACCACAGGACCATGTGCAAGTTTGCCGACCGGCATTCGTCCGTGTATCGCGCGGTGCTGCAGCAGCTGGAGACGAGGATGTTCGAGGTCCAGCGGGCCATGGAGAGGTCAGTGGCACGGACTCTGCTGTTAATACAATCACATGACTGCTGTCTGCTAATGATGTTACCTTTGCTCCAGTGCCGCGATACCGAAGCAATTGCCAGAGCCAAAGGACACAGAGGAGAACAAAAGCCCGGTCAAACTGCCTGATGTGCCCACGTCTGAGCCTGTCCCGCCAAAGACCACGGCGGGAGCGGGAGTACCCTGCAGCGCCAGCGAACTGGAGCGCAGGATGAAGGCGTTGAGAAAGTGAAAACTACATTGCTGAAGGTTCTTTCAGGGTGTTTTTTGTGCTTTGTTTGCTCTTATTCCCTCTTACGATATGGCTCCCACTGCTTACAATCCAGGTCTTGTTCAAATTCTTTTATATTCCGTCAACTGACGCCTATTTAAGTTGCACCTTTTCAACATTCCTTTAACAAAGCTTTTATTTTCTCATTTACTTTGACGCTGTGGCAGAATACTCTCGATGGTTCTCTTGTGATCATCTTGCGCCATGCTGCCACTCATCCGGAGCCATGGCAACTGCCGAGTCAGTTGGCCCTCGTTGGGCATTGATCTCTGCCACGTGTACATGACTTCTGGGCGACAATCATCTCACAAGCCTCAACCCAGCCTAAAGATTAAAGACAACATTCATAATCAGCCCCAGTTAAAAGAATCGGAAAGAAGTGACAGCTCACATTCGAGATAAATATTTGCTTCCACACCGCTTTGCTGTTCTGGCATCGCAAGCAGCAGTGTGGTTCTATAATTACGAACAGGGCTATGACCGTGACAACTGGCAATCTTGACTCGTCTCGAAGCTGGGCGGATAGGCTCGTCGGTCGGGAGATGGTGTGCAGACCAAGTTGCTAACGCTAGACGAAGACGGGTTAGATTGTTGTGAGGAGCTCGCGTTTCGGTTTTATGTCAAGGCGTCGACAGGAACTCAGCAAGTGGTCACTTTCGGTCAGTCGACAGCAAGGTCAGTTCTACAGTTCCATTGTCTGAGATGTCTATCTGCTTTTCATGACTGCCCTGATTAGATCAGCCAGCATTCAGCTGTCATCGTGACTCCCTCCTACTCCCTCTCAAGGGCTGTTCTGCAAACAGATGCCACTCCATTAAACCCCCCCAAAACACGCCATCTGCGCGATGCAAAACCCCCCTCCCATTCAGAAAACCTCCCCTTCATGCGGTAGTTGTACAGTAATCAAAGTGCTGTTGTTCCTCGCCGACCCTCTTGGGCAAGCTTACCATCAGACCGGGCCATCCCAAGAGGAACCCAAGATCCTACTTTTTTCCCTAAACCCGTTCCATAGTATGCGCCTTGTTCAACATATCCCAACCCACCAAACCTTTTGATACAAAACCTCTCCCCCATGCTCACCACCACGTGTCGTTCTGAGCCTGAGCCGCGCGTGCGTACCCGTACGTGCCATTGACGTCCAGGCTGGGCGCGCTGCGCAGATTCTCGAGCTTGGTGAGCAGCTTGGTCTTGTTCCACAGGCGCTTCACGTGCAGCTGCTTGACATTCTCGTCGTAGACGGGCCCCACAAGCGGCTCGAACAGAACCATGGAATTGGCCCACGAGTTGGCCCAGCCCTCGTCCGAGTCCATGAAGGTAAATGTGACGCTGTCCTCGTCGTCGGGGAGCCGGCAGGTGATGAACCAGGTGATGAAGTTGGGCAGCGCCAGCGTGACCTCCTTGGATCCGGCGCGGTGCCGGGCGTCGCGTCGGTAGCCGGGGATGGGTTGCGCGTGCGGTGGCCGGGAGTCCTCGGCGCGCAGGTAGGCGGCGTAGGCGTCGGCGACGGGGCGGTGCGAAAAGACCAGGCTGATGCGGTCGTCAGTCACGGAGACATCGACGGCGACGAGGTTGGGCATGATGGCTTCGTTTTCGGGGCGCGGTGGAATTGTGGGTGAGTTTGATTTCAGATTTCGAGGCGTGGCTTGCTGATTGCTCGAAACAATGGCCGAGGGAATGATTGTCTGCGATCTTCTTTCTGTCGTCGGCGATGCGGTCGTCAGCGGAGGGTCGGAGAGATTGGGAAAGAGCCAAGGGGTCACCTGGAGAGCAGTGCAAACCAAAGCTGCCCGCCTTTAATCACAATGGCCGCCGGGGTGATTCACGCACGAATTATTCGACTCGTCCGCACTCTGGTGGGCACTGGCCAATGGTGGACCTACAGTTGTTCGCAGCAGCTGCAAAGCTCCCCAAGGCCGGCCCACGTCCTCTTGCATGTTTGGCTCCCACACTCTGACTTTCGTGGCTGGCAATCAGCCAGTAGTTGCCGCTCCTCGTTGGGCACCATTCTCCTCCTGTCGTTAGCTCGATGGTGGGGTGTTGCGCGGTGGGTTCTCTCCTCTTCTTTCAGTCCCTTCTGCATCACGTCACTGTCACTGTCGCTGCCTGCCTACACCGGCTGGGAGCCCCTATCTCGGTGATCAAGCTTTGGTGGCTACAGGTCGGTAAGGTTTCTGCTGATGCCGGGCCCGTGCGCACACGCCAGATTGGTGTTTCTTTTTGTCACGATGCTGACAGACAGGGCAGGAGCGATGCTGGGTAAGGTGACCTGCATCGACAGACCCCACCTGGCACCCCTGGCCCGAATGTCGTGGACCTCAACGTCTTGGGCACACAAAGTACATTCAATGAAGGACATGAGCAAAACAATCCCAATCAATTTGCACGTAAAGCCTATGTGATCCGTGAGCCCTGTCGCTGGCGCTGCGGATGCATTCTCAAGCTTAATTCTCGCGTTTGACCTCCGCCCCGCAACAATGAGGCAACACTTTCATCCTTCCTTTGCTCCCGTAGCGAAAGTGGCTCCTCCCATCTTCCCGCCCCACCCTTCCCTCGGGTTTTCCATTACACCATTGTAGCCCTTCCCTCCCAGCCGCAGACTCAAAAATCACTGTCGCAAGTCTCCCCCAAAACGAGGCCCTAGTGATTGGCGATGATGCGGCTGACGTGTGACGTCGGCTGAGCTCGGTGTGCTGTCGCTGGCGTTTTTATGAATGAGGACGCAGGTTGCAAGGTTTTTTTTGGTCTTTTCTGCCGCGCTCGATAATTATCCTAAACTAGATGTCTTCCAAATGAGTACGTGTGCACAACCGCGTCTTGTTCTATGTAAGTTATGAAATGTGAACGAGGCACACGCATCAAGACTTTGCGATTCAATTGATTAAACTCAATTAGCTAAGAAACAGGGACCTGGGCCGGGTGAAACGGGCACTCAGCTGGAAGTTGGATCCGATCCATCGGCGACGAAAATAGGGCGCCCTCACCTCCAACGCTCGGCATCGGACCTCCACTCTCATCCTCCCCAATGCCATTAAAAAGTTAAAACCACGCTGCTCGGGCGGGAGACCTGTCTCCCCATGGCTGGGCTAGTCCGGAGGAACGGGCAAATCAGGACGCGTGTACCTCGTAACCAACAGGCCGGCGCCTCCCAGCGCCTCGACTCCGCCACGTTCGTAAAACGGGCTTCCCGTATCCGAAACGGTATCCTGTGACCCGTGTTGGTGACTTTGCCATGACCACCGACGGCTGACTTACCGATGGTTTGCCATGCTCATAATGAGCGGCGCTGCTGGATCTGCGGTCTGAGAAGTCTCTCGTTTCATTTTTCGTAATCATTCACAGCACCTTGACCCTAAGAGACAAAAGTAAATACGCTCAAATCCGAAAGTTTCAATATCCTCTCTGTCGACTGCCAAGATGAGGGCAGTAATTTGCGATCTCCCATCGCCGATGGATATCAACAATTTCACCACAACGGCCTTCAGAGCCCCGGCGCAAGACTTTCCTCCCCCAAAGCCACAACCTTTCCACCAAAGACGCAATACCAACGCATCAAAGCCTTCAAGACCAGAATCCCTTCCGCACCGTTTCATCCCGGCGCAGAGATCATCACAGCCAATTCTCCTAACTCGACCGCAATCGCACCTCTACATCTCCCCTCGCAGTCCCGGTTCATGCCACAACCTCGAAAGCTCCTTCACCGTCCAGCCATCGCGCTCCCCAGCTTCCCCGACCTCCACCCAGCAGCCACGACAAGAAGCCGCACTGCCGCAGCTCCATCGCACTAGGGCAATCCATTACACCCGCGGGCGCGCGCAGCGCATAAGACCCCGGCTGCGATCAATCGACAGCACCGTGACCCACGAGCAAAATGACGCGAGCCGTCTCCCCAGTGCAACCGCCGGCGGCGTCGACGACCAGGTGAAGATGGTAATACCACAGCCCGCAGCTCAAACATACACCATCCTCGACACGCCGATCGTGCAAGAGTACGAGGCGCGACAGTCGGCTGCGCTGCGCGACCTGATGCGCCTGGTTGATGCGTGCGCGGAGCAAGACGCGGGCGGCACTGAGCGGGGGTTGTGGCTGCTGCGCGCCGCGGAGAGTTCGGTGGTGGAGAAGGAGCGGTTTGGGGACGGCGATACAGATTCGCTCCCTCGGCAGGAGCGTGACGTGGGCGGGGCGTGGTGGCGTGTTTTTGAGCAGGATCGGGAGTCGGATTGATGCGACGGGCCAGGGACTCGGGACAGCAGGCGGACGGAGATGATGGTGAAGGATGGACGTGACGGGGCGCGTTGAGGTCAATGGCTGCGCGCAGCGCGAGCGCAGATTGCCCGGATAGAAAGTCGCCTGCGTGCACAGCAAATATATCAAGGAGTTTGTTGGGGCCAGTTATTAACCTGGTTGGTGTAGTGGGTAGCACGCGGTCATGAAGGTCGTTTACCTGCAAATTTGGGTTTACACTACTTAATTGACTTAGACCTTGGTTCAACTCCAAGACTGGGCCTCTTTTCTTTTTAGATATGTTTTCATTTTTGTCGTTTTCTTTTCCCGTCTCTTTAATAAGAAGAATCTTGAGCTGGCCGGTTCGATTTTTTTGGTTCTTATGAGCCCGCTGGCAAGGACGCGCTTAAAGATATAGACCGAACGGAGGTAATAGTATAAGTACCCTGAGACTAGCGGTATCTGCACCCAGTCACCCAGTCGACCCATTCAGTTCTCTCTCCGAAAGACTCTGTTTGAGTTCTCTTAGAGTCCCTCCCTTTGATTAGACAAAGTAAGCCCCACCATTTGGTTGCAATTGGCGAGCAAGGTACTCCTGTGGTTCTTCGACAACATAAGGGACCTCTCGTGGCTCTGTTCGCTTACGACAACTCTTCTTTTCGCCCAGAGTTTTCCATCCCTTTTCCACTGCAAAGCTCTGTCCGCACACACGGCAAGCTACCCCTGGCGGCTCTGAGCAGTGCAGGTGGGCTCACACGCACGCAGTTGACTGCCCCTGAGCCAGTCAACACCGGCGCCCAAGTGGCGCACAGATCGGCGGCCGCCAACTCCTCAGCTCGGTGCAGTTGCTGCCGTTACTACAATCATTCCGTCAGTCAATCATGCACTCAGTCGATTGTAACCGGATTGCTGTAGTCGGTGAAATTGGCGCGGTCAAGCTGCTGTAGTCTGTTAAATCCGCTGCAGTTAGTCGAAACTGAAGCAGTCAGTTAGGCTCCCTACCACGGGACCTGTGTAGTCAATATTACAGCTGCAGTCTACATGGAATGGCTACCGCTGAGTAAAGCAAAACAAACCCTGAGTGGCCGACCACTCCGTGGCTTGGCTCTCAGAGATGCCCAGTTCGCCAAAATCTGCCCGCTCAATCAAGCCGTTGATGATCCACTGCTCTGTGGCTTCCGACTGCCCGGCTCCCTACTGCTGACTTGCTCTGGTCAGTCCTCCGCAGTTGATGTCGCGCAGTTGGGTGGTTGCAATCAGACTTAACCGCTGCAGTCGTTTACAATTGCGGTTGTCGCAATTGCTATAACGTTAGTCGTTGCAACTTGTGCTATATGTGCAGTCTAGGTGCGCGTGAAAACTCTCGATCCCCTAGGGAGCATGGACGCAGCTAAGTATATGAGACACTTTATTGGGGCGATAAATCAGCCTGGTTGGTGCAGTGAGTAGCACGTGGCCAAAAGTTGTATGTTCGCGTACCATCGGTTTGCTAAACTTATTTAACCAAGACTTAGTCTTGGTTCAATTCCAAGACTAAGCTAACGTTATCTTTTCTTATTCCTTTTTTTCTTTTTTTTTAAGCCGCTATTCATTCCGCCATAGAACAAGCACTCGCGTCCAGCAAGTAAGGAAGCTTCTAATTAAAGTTATAACTCTAACGTGGTCTATCACCGAAAGCTCCATATCACCGAAAGCTCCACAAAATCGCGTCCATGCGACATATCCGTTTTAACACCTACTTTCTTCGGAACTCAACATGCGACAAAAGAATGACGAAGGCCAGATTGTCTTGGCCCTCCAAGCTCTCGGAAACAACCCAACTTTAAGCCTCAGAGCTGCAGCCGAGATCTATTCGGTCCATTATACGAAGCTGAGCCGCCGCCAGCGCAGCAAATAATCACGACGCGACATCACAGCCAACTTGCGGAAATTGTCCGATTTAGAGCAATCGGTTATTGTTCAATATATCCTCGACCTGGATTCAAAAGGATTTCCTCCCCGCTTGTCTGGTGTGGAAGATATGGCCGATCGACTGCTTGCCGAACGCGATGCCGGACGCGTCGGCGCGCTCTGGGCGCATCGCTTTGTCAAACGGCACCCAGAGCTCACAACGCGTTTAAATCGGAAATACGACTACCAGAGGGCCCAATGCGAAGATCCGGAGATTATTCGCGTTTGGTTTGCGCTTGTGCGGAACATAATTGCGAAGTACGGTATCCAGGAGGCGGACATCTACAACTTCGACGAGACTGGGTTTCAGATGGGCGTTATCTCAACCACAATGGTTGCCAAAAGCTCCGAGTGGAGTGGCAGGGCAAAGTCGAAACAGCCTGGCAATCGCGAGTGGGCAACGGTGATCCAGGGCGTTAATGCTACTGGCTGGGCGATCCCCGTTTATCATCGTCAAGGGCAAGCATCATCTCTCCTCTTGGTACGTCTCTCCTCTTGGTACGAGAACAGCCCATTACCGAGTGACTGGGTTATCGCGACATTCGAAAATGGCTGGACAACCAACGAGAGAGGCCTAGAATGGATTCAGCACTTCGACAGGCATACCGAAGCTCGAATAGCCGGGGTTTATCGCCTCCTCGTCCTCGACGGCCACGACAGCCACCACTCGACCGACTTCGAGCTCTACTGCAAAGAGAACAACATCATCACGCTCTGCATGCCTCCCCACTTGTCTCACATCCTCCAGCCACTTGATGTTGGATGTTTCAGCCCGCTCAAGACAGCATACGGCAAGCAGATCGAGACGTCCAGGGTCATGCATCAGTTGGCATTGTAGAAGGCAGAGAAACCAGAGCCTCCGAGCCGCAAACGAGGCACTCAGCAAGCGTCGAAGAGCCAAAAAACAACGGCTCCGACAAGGAGGATCGCTTACTGTACAAGATGCACAGGATTTGCAGGGCCAGAGAGACATTGAGGTGCAGATCAAGGAGGAAACGCAGGCGGGTAGTGGTCGGAAGGCCAGCCAGGCCACAATGCGCGCACCTGGCAGATGGTAGTGGAAACGTCTGAGGAAGAGGATTCCGAGTAGTTTCATTGTTTTGAACTGTTTTGGTGGAATTGATGGACATTGGGTTGAAAGGGTGCGATGTTGTGGAGCTTTCGGTGATAATCCACGTTAGTTAATGAGCTTTATTACATTTCGTGGGCAGGGTATAGTAGCAACTAAACCTTTTCGAAAACTTGGAAAGGACCCAATATATTCAGCAATTCCTTAAAGAGGTCAATTGGCTTAGTTGGTGCAGTGGGTAGCATGTGGTTAGAAAGTCGTATGTTCTCGTTCAATCGGTTTGCACAAACTTCCATAACCAAGACCTTGGTTCGATCCCAAGACTTGGCCATTCTTTTTGTTCTTCTCCTTTCCGGCCGTGTACCCACTCCTTGCAACTTGCCATGAACAAGACTTCCCGATATATCACAGCGGAAAGAGAATTGCATCGACCCCCCATTGCCCCAGCCCCGTACAACGAGAAATGATAAGCAGCTATTTGACATACACACTCATTCTAAGATTCTCTCCATCCTCCACTCATTGCTTCCCAAGTTGACTAGGCTGGCCGTACAAGGCGGTGCACTGGTTCACATGTGGGGACGAAGCAAGGAGGGATGGCTTAGTACCCATGGTAGGTAGGCTCAATCCAACCAATGGCTAGGCCTCTGCTTACATTGAACACACAGCATAATTATGGCAGGCGGTTTTGTTTGGCATTCGCTAGATAACTAGCTGGCTCGAGCATCCGTTGCAGCCTTTTCTGCAGTAAGCGAACTGCCTAGCTCCCATTAAATCTTTCCTTGATTTTGTCGCTCGTTCTTTGCTCCCTGAGTAATCCTCTGCAGCGACTGTTGGTGGCGCGCGTGACTGGATTCTGCCACAACCTGGAAGTCGGGTACTTGGATCAAGGGCTGCATTGTGGAATTTGCGGGTGCAGGGGCGCCGGCTGCGCAGGTGAAGCCGTCTAGGTAGGCTTGTAGGGAGTAGCTGTTCTTATGGGCTGAGCTCGGAAGCTGGTTCGTCAAAGGGCAAGCGGTCCGCCGAGGGTGTCTCAGGCTGGGAGGTGGCGAGGCGGCACTTCAGCCCTAGGGATATGTGTCTTGCCGAAAGGCTTAGACTCCAGCTTGATTATGAAGATGAGTGTCGCGCATAGATAGCTCTCGGGGAAGGCTACCTGCAATCGTTGAAGTTGGCGGGAGAGGCTTAGGGGCAGGCAGGCAGTGCGTTCTTGTTGCCGGCCCGGCAAGGCTTGTCACGGATGCACGTGTATGATGAGTTTAGGGAAGCAATCACCGGCTGTGCGACCGAGCAAATCGCTGGCCCAAGGAAGTCCCAGGTTATAAAACGGCGCGCGGGGGAGGAGGAAACGGCTGCAGTGGGCCGAGACCAACTACTTATCGTTCTTTGCGATTGGGAGACTCGTCTTTGGTGGCGAAGGCCTTATGAAACCTCGACCGCCGATCTTGACGACATGAAGGCTGTGTGGTAGGTCATCTGCACAATTACCTAGAGTTTTCGTGGTGCGTGGTCGCTCGAATTTAATTGGTCAGGTACCTAGCCAATCTCAGGATGGTGGGAACGAGTGTCCAAACTCACTTCGTTGTGTCGCGTGAGGGCACGGCAGAAGACTAGACCTGGCGAATGGTGGTCGGGACGGTCCGAAGCAATGGAGACTGCCGTCTTGAGGTTTGTCTTCATTGCAGTCAAACTCACCGGGGACCATATGGCGGTGATGGGACTGCTGTTCAATTGACTGCAACCGCGATTCAATATGATTAGAAGTTCGAGTCGTTGGTGGGTAGGTCCCAGGCTGTGGTTTGATCATCTGCAAGTTCGGAGTGCTAAAGATTCTTGTACCGTGACTTGGGATGTTGTAGCGGCAATCCGCCACGGAGCGTTGACCGAAATAGGTATATAAAAAAAATTCTCCTGTCGAGTAATGGCTGGCCTTGTTGGTGTAATGGGTAGCACGAGGCTCTAAAGTGAGGGAAATGGATCCGCGATTCTTGAGAACTTTAGCACAGCCGAGACCGTGGTTCAACCCCAAGGCAGGGCCGGGCCTTCTTTTTTTGTTCTTTTTTTTTTCTCTTCTTTTCATGTCCCGTCGTTTGAAATTATTGTTTCCCTCTCTTCCTCTTGTACATCTCACCCCTTTTCACAGGAGATATCTCTTACCTATGTGGTCTGTTGTGTAAGAGTGCGTGCTCAAGCACGTGCCAAACCCTTACCCTTAAAGCTTTGTCAGCGCTAGCTAAACCGATAAATCCAACCATGGGTGCAGGCTCACTTGCGCTGGCAATCACGACTGTTCTGCGAAGTTGAACGGTCACAGGTTTTTTAAGAGAGCGTCTCTGGCCGCCTTTATTACCGCCTTTGTGCACCGGGTGGCTTGAAAGAGAAGTGTTGGTGGCAGAGTTGTATTCCTAAAGATGCTTGTTTTTGGGTGCAAGACGAGGGGGCCCCGACAGGCGATTAAATACAGGTTCGAGCCCCACTCATGCCCCCACTTGCCCAGTGGTGACTGCTCCTGCCCTCTCAAGCACCACCCACTTTCCCAACGTCGACCCAACCCTTCGGCTGGTCGCCCACTCCAGGCAGAAAAGATACATGAACCTATGCACGTGTCCGGGATCCTAATTAGATTCTGCCCGTTCTTCGCTGCCAACTATTGCTTGAAGCTATTCCCAACGATCAATCACCCACGCAGTCAATCGCATACTCGCACCAAATTGACTTGGGCTCTTTGCACGTCATTTGGACTGTAAGACCACAGGTCAATTGGTGAGTGTATGTGATTGATTGCATGAGCGATGGAATGCGTGGGCGATTAACTGCACGGATTGGATTCTGACCGCCCGTTGAAAGAAAGTGGACCTCTTGTAGGCGGTGAGAACCTTTGTGGGTCTGGCTCATGTACTGATGAAAATGGTGTGTGATACGTTCCGTGAACTAACGAGGCTGTTAAGCAGCAATGAACAAGCAGCGACCCTACCAGGTAGCCATTGAACACCGGCCATCAAACAATGGCGACGGCAACCATTCAGAAGCCCCAACAGTAACGTAGCCATCGAACAGCAGCAAGAAAGCTAAAGACTTAGGTAAACACCAGCAAACTCCTCAAGCTATCCGATCCATCATCGTTGCGCCTCTATGCTTCTATGCAGAAGTCGTGCTCGGGCCAAGACACACATGGCTCGGCTTCTTTGATCTGGCCGCAGCATGACCAAGCCGGATCGTCATGTTCATTTTCAAAGTACTCCGTGTCGCCGTGAGTGGTAGTACGGAGATGCTGCTTTCGCCCAAATGTGCCTATCAAGAAAGAGATAAATGAGAACTCGCGAATAGCGAACTGACAATGGCAGAATAATTACTTACCGTCGTGAAATTGACAGGGGCCAGGCGAGGATTCCTAATCCTTGATCACTTTGCAGCATTTGCGGCAAGTCTTCAAGATTTGCGGCAGTGCTTCGCCGGCATCACTGTCAGGGTTCTTCGAGGTGCCGGCCTTCGTCATACGAGAGGACCATGGGACTTTGCCATTTGGCTTGTCCGCTGTTCCATCGCTGTTGTCATCCACGGCTTTGCGCTTCAGGGAATTATCTAATTATGAGAGTGAGTTAGAAGTTTGCCTGGAGGGAGATGTATTGGTTAAGGTAATGGGATAATAAAGAATCTCGCTGCATCCATACCACACTCAACATTGTCATTACTGTTGCCGTCGGGCAACCGTGAGACTGTAGACGCATCAGATGCGGGTACGGCTGGATCGGCGACATCGGTATTGGCAACGCCGACTCGCGTGTGAGGAGCCATGGCAGCCGCATCCACACGGGGTTTGATGGGCGTAACAGACGTGGTTGCATCGTGAGCCAGACGGTCCGCGATCTTCAACAGGTGTGCAATTGCAGATGGCGATGTTGCAGGAGGCTTGGGGCCAGCCTCCTGTCTGTATACCAAGACCGCGTCCACCAATCGGTCGATGCGATCACCTAGGTTTCGGTCCTCCTTAGTCGCCAGATACACCATGCGAAAATCGGCGTCGCTGAGGCGCAAAACTTTCTCGTCGGACGTGCTGGCCATTGTGCAGACAGGCACTAACAAACGAGCCTGCACGTGGTATGGTATCGAAAAGTCCGCATGGAAGGAGGTAACGAGTCGTATTTCGGTGAAAAGAGGTCAAGAGCAGAGGCGTGCTCCCTAGCAGATTGGGAAATTTCCACCATGCGTTTGGTAAAAAGAAGGAAGGAAGGAGGGTGGGTGGTTTTGTTTTGTGGAAGGAAGAAAAGGCTCGGGGGGAAAGGGAATGCAAAAAAGACGGAAGGAAGGAAGGAAGGAAAAAAGCCTTTCCCGATATTGGTTGGGTCGCGCTTTCCATTTGGATGACCCTGCCGAGCTTTGGTGAACGAAGGAAGGAAGGAAGGAGCGACCTTCGATATCGGTCTCGAATCACTTTGCATTCAGATACGAGGCAGCTTCTACGCTCAAGGTACATCAGGTAGATATTCAGTGTCTTGTGCACCGTCCTGTGCCGACCCGGCCTGCCCGACCTCCCCAGGGAGGTATCTAGGTAGGTAGGTAATCGCCAACCCGTTCAAAGCAAAACTCACCTCAGTGATCGTCCCTCTCAGACCACGGCTTCAGCGCCTCAAGAAGGTCCCGATGCGCCTGTCCATCCCCGCTGAGTTCCAGCGCGCGCTCAAATGCCTCCCCATCCACGTTCCGCACAAAGATAAGGAACCCCGCCCAGATAAAGTCCGTGTAGCTGAGCTCCTTGCCCATGAAGAATGGGCCGTCGGGGGTCTGCTTGAGCAGTTCCGTGATCGCCCGCATGTGCGGCGCCATGGCAGCAAACGCGACCTCGCCGCCCTTCAGCCGGGAGTACTCGTCGAGCGGCATGCCGACGTCCTCGCTGCGCGTGCGGTACCAGTACGGGATGCTGGCTGCCGACAGCAGGTTTTTGGGCACCCCGGTCGCGAAGATGCCGAAGAAGGGCGGGTGCACGCGCTTGAGCAGCTCCACCAGCCGGAGCTGCACGGGTGCCCCGAGGTGCAATGGGGGTGCTGGGTGTTGCTTCTCCAGCTCGTCGGCAATCTTGTAGCTGTCCATCACGTACTTGCCGTCTGGGAGACGGATGGCGGGGATGGTATAGGATGGGTCGCCGGCGTTGGGGGTGACGCTGGGGAGTGCGTTTGAGCATGATGTTCACGTCGTTTGAGTTGAGGTCATGTACAAGGGAGCGAAAAGGGGCAGCTTACTGTCCCTCAAGCCGGGCCTTGATGTCTGGGTACTCGACCTACGCAGTTTGTGTCAGTGCTTGTGGCATCCGATGTACTCGGATGATTGCCATGGCTTACCCATTCCGTCTTGTAGTTGAGGCCCTTGTAGTTGAGAACAAACCGGGCTGCATCCATGCATCATCAGTCTCCTCCCTCGTTCAAGCATGAGATGAGATTCACACTTACTCCTCCAGGGGTTGAGGGACCAGGCTTTGACAGGCGCCCTGGTTGGAAGGTCAAAGAAAACGATCGGTTCCGAAGCCATGGTTGTTTGTAGTGGATGTCAAGTTTCCTTTCGGGCTTGTGATGTATAGTTCTTTGATGTGGTAAACCACCAGGAGGGGTTGATGTCAGCGGTGGATTGACGTTGTATTTAAGTCATAATTGGCGACGATCCTGGTTCCACGTTATGTCACCTTGATTTGTAACGGGCATGATTGTAAGCGTGTTTTCACCGTTACTCCAGTGATCAGCAATGGAAGCGGGGAATGGTGCGGAGCCCATCTCAATGCAACACCCTTCAGCCCGTTTCTCCCCAGTAACGCCATTACAACGGCGGTCAGACTGATGGGTCCAAAAGCGCGCTCTCACTAGCGGCGCCTAAGTTGTCCTTGATTGTAGCGCGCGAGACGAGAAATGGTTACCTGTCTAACGGTTACTTTCTTGTGGCAGCATGCTAGGACGGTGTTGGGACGATGTTGGGATATCGCTGGGACATCATGGGCGGGATCATTATTGAAGCATTATTTTTAGGTCACGAATGCAGTCTTTTGACGACTTGATGAAGACGGCTATAATTGGCCTGACTGCATCAGGAAGGAGATGAGGATTCGTTCTTTGGCTGACCCTGTATCTGGCCGGCTGTGTTACACGCTGACAAGTACTTTGCATTCCATTGCAGGTCAGCCTTGAGCACGAGATATACCTCAGCCACAAGTCAATATAGCTCCGTGATGCACAAGTAGGTTCCCGAGCTCAAGCCAGAGGATCCGAACAAGCCAATGACAGGCAACCATTCATTGGAAACCAATCGGAATCTTGAACGATGTCAGCCAAACTCCAAATTCAGCTTCCCAAAGCATCAAAGAGACGTGAAACGTTGGGAGGGATAAGGCAAAAGAGCAATGATCGAGAGCGCGATTGCCGTGGTTAAACAAAAAATGACCTTGCAGGATGTTTTCTTCTTTAAGCGAAACTCATTAACATTTAAAACTTTTGAGTGAACACGAGATAACGTTACCCTTCTGTGAACGCCTAAACCACAGCCATCAAGACCTCGATCCAATCCCTCCCCATGGCACGCACAAACTGACAGATCACCGGGGAAAGAGCGGAAGGATCGGGCCTCTTCTTGCAGCTGCTTCTCTCGTCAGGGCCGCGCGTCAGTCTATTCGAAGAACTATCATCAATTCTTGGCAGATCAGTGAGTCCGACTTTGGTCGGAATGGAGGAGGACGACATGAGCGATTCCTTCGGCCATAATGATGCGGGCGGTGGTACTGGTCATTGATGGAGTGGTGGACATTTGTTCGAGCAACGTTCGAAGTAATTATCTGGAGGTCTGCATTCTGTGCAGATCGAGTGCGTGTATTTGCCTTGGGTTGTTGGAGGGCCTACCTAGGCTGGAGGTGTGAATGCACCACTGGCACGACTGGACCCTTAGAACTAATTGTGCAACAGGCCAGTGCATTTACCAGCACGAGTGTTTGCGCGGGCTTCTCGCACCGCCTGGTGGACTCAATAATGTGGTCTTGCCTTCCGCCAAGACCGATCAGTCACA